CTGACCACCGCAGCACACCAATTGCCCCATAATGACGTGTGGTTTGCCAACAAGATGCAATTATTCCCAGTTTCCGTCAGCGTCTAGACCTGGGGATTGAGTCATGGTGTCTTGGTTTTGCTCAGAGTCAGTTCACAGGGCAGCGGTCCAAACCAGCTGTAATCTAGCCCTGGAACGGCTTTATGTGTTCACTTGGGTTTGAAACCAGTGATTGTTGCAAGAATTGAGTAGAGACCACAGTTGATTGTAGATAGTTTGATCATGCTGTCAGCTTTGATGGATTGCAATCAGTTTGCTTAATTGAGTTGATAGATCACTGCAAATCACTTGCCATACTGCTCTTAAAATCGTTTTAATTACTGCTTTTATTGTATTATTTTACATATACATTTATTCTTTTACTCATCTTGTAAGGTGGCCGTTAAATGAGATTACATAAAACACACACATTGGGAGTGACTTTGAACACCCATAGACACTGTCAGCCCCTTGTGATATAAAACAATCAACTTACTCCACGCCATTTGAACTCTGAAAACTGATAAAAAGATCTTCTAGAGCTGTTTCAATCTATGTCACGAGTGAATGCCCCTATGGTTTTTCTTTTTCTTTGACCTTTTTTCCTCTGTTTGAACAATTACACACATGGGCTGCGTTCCGGTTCCTAATATTTTTTGTTCCTCACCTGATGGGGTGAAAATAGTGGAGTGAAAACACTGTGATTCATCCCATGTGTTGAACTTGGTTACTGAACTATGAGAAACCACCACACAACCAGCAGTAACCGCAGAGTGGGATGTGTACACTTCTCACTTTGTTGCTACGTTTCGCTTATTTCATTCATTAATATCACAAGAAGCAGAATTGAATGCTTCCTTGTCTTTGCTCTTGGGTCTTGTTGGTAATATCCAAAGCAACCGAGATTTGATCAAGACCATACTTTAATTTTCAGTTTAACTGATAATCCTCAGCCTTTGCTGTTTGTTGAAACTTAAAACTACCTCTGTGACTTCTTTTGAAATTGCGTGAGACAGTGTACTTTTTATGCCAAAAAACAAAATAGGAAGGTAGATATACGAGAAAGGTGTTGAAATCAATATAATTTTTACCGTATATGTTGGGTTTCATTAACAAGCAATGTTTTTAAGCCTTATGGCAGATGTTACCATACTGATCAACCTTCCTCACACATACACACATACACACACACTAGCTCACATGCATGCACGTACTCATGCACACACATACACACACACGCACATACACACTAAAATCCATAAGAGATAAGAAAGTCTTTAAGAAAAGACAGAACATACAGTGGTCCTTAATTTTTTATGTACATACATTTCAGTGCAACCTGAATCAGATGTTTGCCTACAGTATGTCCTATTCTTCTTGCCTTCTCAAAGTCTATTGTAACTGTGTCCCACGGTCACAAAGTCTTTTAACAAGATGCATGTTCTCCCTATTTAGGGTGCATTCAGAGCTCGTTGATCTACAGACTAACTAGTCTACGGATCAAATATAGTGAGCACTTAACAATGGATCACTGCCTTCCAAGTGCGCCGTTCAAGCAAGAGCAGAGCAATTAAATCTTGGCACGGTTTCAAGTGGGTTATACTATATTTGATCCATGGACTAGTTAGTCCTTGCATCGGCTGGTTCTGAATGGACCCTTAGTAAAAAGAGGCAGACACTTGACTGACTTCACTGTGGTGGATACAAAATTATTAGCATGGGTCTCCCCCTGCCTTCTCTCTCTATATATGAATTTGTCTTCATCTTTTGAAAAGTAATAGAGCTATTGGGCAATGGAAAAGGCACTCAGAGAATAAGGCACTGAGAAATGTTCTTGTACAGTGTGAAAAACTGTGGCAAATTGAATGAAATTATCTTAGGCTTTATAGAGTCAAGTACAGTATTGTGTAAGCCACATGACTATTTTTTTCACCTGATCAAAGTTAAAATAAGTCCAAAATTATCCTTTAAATGTTTCAAAGAATTTTTAGCCTATTTCAAATTGCAGAGCAAAATTTCATGAGTTAAGGTTGATTTTCTACAGCATAGCATGTATAGCCTAGATTTGCGTTTAAAAAATGATGATGTATAATAGCTCAAATCAATGTGCCACTGCTTTAACACAGTACTGACTGAAACCTTGAATTGCAAAACTATAATCTTCTTCTTGGAACAATCACTGACTTTGAATACTGTTGAAGGATTTCCGGTCTTAAACACCACATTCTCAACTCTTCTTAAATTTTTTTGTGACATTTTCCAGTTAACAATAGTACTAATGTTACTAGAGAGAAGTACATAGTTGTTAGCTTCCACCCAGACATCGTTAAAAGCCACCCAACTTTGCCGACACAGGCCAGACAATGCTTGTAATAAAAACCACAAATTTGCAAGAGGGACAATCAGTCTGATTTTTTTCTCTTTCATTTTTTTTTCACATTGTTGAAATGTAGTTGCTTGATCACCTATGAGGGCGTAGAAACTGAGTACCATGAGGTCATTATAGAGTCTTAACCTTAAAAAGATGTATAGGTTTTGTATCGGTTGCTAAGAAGGGGAAGGATGCATGGTTTGGAAAACAAGACTTTGTTGTCGAGAATGAATTTTTTTGTAGTATCACATTAATTCACCAATTAGATTATTGAAGGTCAAAGTTGTGCTATAATTGATAGAACGGCTCAGGAAGGGGTTATGCTAAGTCGTCAAGGATTAGCCACCAGGAATGAAGACTTATGATTGTCTATATTTGTTTTATGCTCAATCTTATTTACTGGGTAAACAAGACAGAGGTGGAAAAAAAACCCAGTCTAGTCAACACACAAATATTGGTACAAAGAATATCATTGAAAACCTCATTTTTAATCCGGTAATCCTTTGTGCCCCGAAGTATCGACTGATTTTGCTTCATCGAAACAGTTGTCTGTCTCGGGTGTTATGTACATAGTCTGTCTAACTGGAGTAAAACTGAAATTCCTGACAGGTGCCCTTTTCAAATGTGATATATAGAAATTGATCATTGGTATGAAATATTAGTACTATTTGACCCAGACGGCCTGTGGGGACTTGAACAAGAGTGAATTTGAATGTGGATTTTTTGCTTAGAGGCTTATTTTTTTTTTTGTGTTTGTTTACACACACACACACACACACACACACACACACACACACACGTAAATGCACAAACACATTTATACCCATGTACACACACATGCATTCACATACAAACATTTCACTATTTGGCACTTAACACATCTGGAAATTGATTAAGTATGCTTCAAATTCAAGATTGTTTAAGTACTAGCATTTATTTTATTTTTTGGTTGTTGGAAGTATTTAATGTCTGAAAAGAGTTTTGTGTTTAAAATTTGTGGGTAGCTGACTTGATGACTTCCACAGACAGTGAGTGCTCCACATTGACTTCAAGTAAAGTAATTGTCATTGATCACAAACTCTTCATTTTCTGACAAATATATTTATCTCATTCATCTGCTCCCTTATGACTTTGTCCTCAGAGTAATGGGGTATATGTACAATAGTTGCTTTATATTGAGACAATTTATTAAATTATTGCAATCATAATCATCTGTGGCCTAAGTTTTGAGAGCAATGACTGACCAAATTTTTGCCACTGCCCATCTGGAAATTATTTCCTCTCTTGGGTATTTTGGTCTACTGTGATAATAGTGGAAAAAAAGCATTCCGTATTAACTGCTTTTTATATACATGATGTACAAACTGTGTGTGTGTGTGTGTGTGTGTGTGTGTGTGTGTGCGCGTGCGCACGCGCACCCAGTATATCAATTTGTATAGGATTTTATTTATTCTTTGGCCTATAAAGATGCTATGATGATGCAGGCAAATTTGAGTACTTTCATGTATGTGTGTTTGTGCTGGCATGTGTGTATGTGTGTGTGTGTGCTTGTGACACTTTAATCTACGGCTGTATTCCCAGAGCTTTTAGATCGATCTATCCCCGCGGGGAGTCTCACTAGATTACTGTCAGATAATCTGGCTTAAATGTCCGTCCCGCCTACTACAAGCTGTAAGGGGGTAATTAACTTTCGTGTCCGCCCGGCTGACAGCTATTTAGTGTGAACCCCCAGGGAGTTAGGTCGATCTAAAGTAGATCGATCTAATCTCTAGAAATGGGGTCTACATCTAGGAGGAAGTCATTTTTAACTCTTTCCAAACACCCTTTACGTATGATGTACACGTCAGAGTCACAGCGCATGTAACATACATCACCTTTCATGGTGCTGTTACATTACTGTCACCATAACATGAAACAACAATACATTTTGTCCTTAATTGGCAGGGGTGTTCTGTCACATAAAGAGTGCAGTTTGGGAGGATGCAGCTACATATTCTGTTCTTGAGCAGTTAAACGGTTTTTCAGGTCATGGCAAATAGCTTTTAAATTGCTCTTTGTTATTTATATTGCCATGTTATGTGTAATTAAGATAACATTTTTTGACTTGAAAAGGAGAGATTCTACTTTGCCTTTTTCCTATCTCTGCTTTTGATGAAAGATTTTTAAAATTCGTTCATTAAGGAGGCATCTATTTCTCAATGATAACTTAATAAATGCCTGTGCTGTAATTATCTAGCAAAAGGATCTGCTGTAATGAATGTTTACAGAAGCCTGATTTTTAAAATCTTTTTTCACCAAGATTTGAACCCTCTTTTTCTTGACATTTAAACAAAAAAGTGACAGATGAAAAAAGGAAGAAAGAAATCAGCAGAATTTACCATGGTGTAGTTTTACTGTGACTGTCATAATTGTCTAGTTCAATTTTCAACATATAAACAGTACTAGTAATGGACAATTTATAAATTGTTTTGTGTTTGTCTTTGTGATTGTTCATTACATTTTGACCTTATTTGACACACTTATTTGATTAACTGACCATGGGTCATAAGTGTAAGCTTCAGTTAGTTTTCATTAAACAAAAATGATACATTATTACAATTATTCATTGCAGGACGAGTTACTACACCACGTACAGACAAGTCTACCACACACAGTACGTAACAAAGTACAGGTGTTGTCATGGATGGCAGCAACTTAATCAGGAGACAGGATGCATGTATCGTAAGTACTCGCAATTATTAAGATTAATTGTATCAATTGATTTATCGATTATTCAAATGTTGATCCATGATTTGGCTGGCAAGGTCAGAGGTCAAGGTCAGAGTTTGGTTAGGTAATCAGTTGTTTGATTGGTAATTGATGGGTCTTAATTTTGTAATTACACACTCATTAATTTGTATCAGATTTTAATTATGATATTTACCAACTCAATGTTTTGTTGATTATACCAAAAAAAGGGATTTAAGACTTGTTAAGATTTTTTTCTTCGTTTTATATAAAAATTTTCAAATTGATAAATTAAGAAAAAGACAGATATTAGAACAAAAAATGTATGGAATTTGTTGCTTATTATTATAAGTATAACATCATCTCACACATTCTTAATGTGTAAAACAAGGTGCCAAACTTACAGTAATGTCACCACATTAAATAGCGTAGACCAGTGAGTCCCACACATATCTAATACGTTAAGAGTTGATGTCCGGGAAGAGGTCTAATCCAAAAGCATTAAATGCTTCCTTCCCAGCCAGATTAGAGCATTAATAGAGCCATAAAGCAACTGAATCAAAGACTAAAAGAGAGCAGAAATATATCCAGGTGATAACCTTGCATCATTTTAAACAAGATGAGGTCCACAAGGTTATGCTGAAAAATGAGAAAAAAAAAAAAAAACTCCCACATATTGAAGTTCCATTGAGGTTTTATCCACAGGATTTCAGAGCACATTTTCCCATCCAGATTTCTGCATTAATAGAGCCATAAAGCAGCTAAATCAAAGACTTTATATCTACGCAGGTGAGGTTCAGGTGATAACCTTACACCACTTTAAACAAGCTAGAGGTCGCCAGGTGCCTGTCGCTGCCCTAACCCCGTGACAGCGTTTGTTTGTGAAGCCACAATTATCTTGCTGATTGTGTCTTTTGATCCAAAACGTTGTCACTCTGTGGGATCCAGGAGAATAGGCGAGGGAAAGAGCATGCTGGTTCCATAACCCTGTGACAGAGCTCTCTTGTGAAATCGTGATGAATCTGATGATTGTGTCTCTTGACGTAGGATTGCATTCACGTTCAATGATCTGTCCCTTGAGAAGCGTTTTCTAAATTTTGCAATATTACAACCCCTGGACTAATGGAATAGATTTGAACATGACTATTTCTCATGAATAAGAGGTTGATTGTATTAGCTCCTGCAGAGTTTTGCTGTATACTTAGAGAGAGAGAGAGACTAGAGGTGGAGAGACAGATTTGTTTGATGAAAATAAAAGAATAATATTTTTATCTCTATTCAATCTAAAAGGATATATATATACATAAACTCTAAGATTTTTTTAAACCAAAGTATTTGGACTTCTCAACCCTTAAGGTCATACAAGCCACATAAATAACTAAGGTAATTAATAAGCAGGACAAGTATCACTGGGTTCATAAACCTGCCGAGTGGAGCGTGGATGTGAGAAGCAGTGAAGCATGTAAGCAGTTAATGTTATCATATTAACTCTGCTGCAGCGACTATCAATTAGCTGTGGCGGTGTCATCAAAGGGGTCTCATCTGGGAGTTTAGTCGCCAGGTCATACGCACAGTGTACGATAATTGAGGTCAAGGTGGTGACCTCGTCTGGTGTTCTTGTGCTTTTTTTGTTTCGCATCGCCTTTGTTTTAGGGTGCTGTTCTCTTGTTACAGGACATTTTGAGTAATGAAATATTTTCAAAATTTTTATCCAGCTAAATGAGATTTTCAGCTGTATGATATCAATAGAATGTACACTAATCATTGTGGAGAGAGATTAAATCGCTGGTGGATCTCAAGAGGTAATTTTCTTCTTAGAGCACATTTAGAACAGATGATCCATGGACTAACTAATCCCCTGACTAAACATGGCTGACCCCACTTCAAAATCAATGCTGCTAATCCCTGATGGTCTCCCTGCCTCCACACGTGCCATAAAACACATTTCAGAATAATTATCACAGATTAGAAATAAAACAGTTTTCATTTTAACCCATACTCTTTTAAGGTCATTTACAACATGTTGCTTGTTGGGAAGGCACCTTTTAACATCACTGCCAACAAATGTCTTCTATTTAATAACAACTAAGGGGTCTGCAAACTCTGTACACTGCTGCCTTTGAAATAAGAGGCGCAGATATTGGAATCAGGTTTATAGAATGAATAGTCCACATGGAATTGAACGGTTAACTGATTCAGTGATGTGTTTTAATGATGTAAAGGGGTGATGGTATTTGGGGTTCAGCTTCTTAATGGAAAATTGTTCTACAGTGGAATTGGAAAAATAAACCATATTTCGTGATGTTTTTAAAAGAGCAACCAGTTTAATGCAAAATTGTTTTATGTGAAATTGGCTAAATGCACTCAAAAGGGAATCGAGATGTGTTTCACTACTAAGGCATACTGCTGAATCTGGAGGCAGTTTGAGAATATAAGTGCATGCACACATTTCCGAGCCACACAGTTTGAATTGGTTTAAACCATAAAAACGTTTTCACATGCATATTGAGGATGTCCAATAAAAAGGGCAGCAGATTCCACCCAACATTTCCTCTCTCACCTGCCCCCCCCCCCCCCACCTCATCCCTCCTTCCTTGTGATAAATGAAATATGTGAAAAATGGCTAAATGGAGCTCAGAATGTGTCTTATCTCCTTATTGGGAAGGTTGGAGGCTAGGTAAACAATTGTGTATTTTGTAAAGGATCCCTCCTTCCTCAAAGTTTAGATACACATTATTTTTATGCAAAAATTTAGGATTTTAAAAAGTTAAGTGCAATTCTCATATACTGCACAACACGTGCATCTCAGCAGCTTTACATTGCACAACTGGTCATTTTTGACCCTGACACAGAATGCCCGTTGACGCTTTTGCCCTTACCTCCATGGGTGATAGCAACCAGTGTCTTTCTATATAAACCCTCTGTGATCTTTAAAAGAGAGGTGACATCTGAGAGGGTAATTTCAGTAAACAGGTTGATTGCAATTAACAGGGTTCCTGATGTGTCTAGTGTGTATATGGGCCAAGTTTGGTTGTAGATGGATAAAAACTCACCTTGCACAAACTCTAATTCAGGCTATCAACTGCACAGGTTTTTCAAAATTGATGTATGCAAAATGCTTAGATCAATTGTTTAACTCCTCATCATCAAGAAAATAACACCTTAAAACAATAGTTCACAGCCTCGAGGATTATCAATGAACTTACGGTGTTTGCAAGCCCTAATTTTCAACCACCTGCTTCCTGGAATGGGGCTGAAACAGTTTAATTTAAAGCAGATGAGAATGCATGCTTACTGCTCCAGGGTACTTATCACTTAACAGTTTACCTTGCTAAATACTTAATGGGGGATAATGATGCCTTCCCAACCCCCAGGAGCTAGGTGTGAAAGTCAGGTATGAGGTTGACCCGACCTCATCTCATTTAGATAATATTCTCCCCCTCAAGTGGGTCTTCAAAGGGAAATTCACATAAGCCGCCGTTTGGACTGTGTTGAGACTTCTCACCCGTACATGAAAGAAAAACCGCCTAATCTTTTAATAGTCTCTCTGCCTCTCACACGCCTCCCCATGTGTCGTCCCAATGGAGCCGAGATTTAATGACTGTCCCCCTGCAGGGACGACGTGTGGGGAGGCGTGTGAGAGGCGGAGAGACTATTAAAAGATTAGGCGTTTTTTCTTTCATGTACGACCGCCATATTTAGTCCCCATGATTTGTAAAGCCTGGCTCAACTCGTTGTGAATGCGATCATAGAGACTGAAAAGGGTAGAAACTGTACTGGTGTAGCATTAACACTCGTCAATTTAGCCAAATGCTATAACTGACTTAAATTGGCAAAACAAAATAGGGTTGGTTTGACTTGTTTTAGTCAAATTTAAAACATTTGGAGAAAAATAGTGATGGAAAGGTAGCAATTTGGCGAAGCAAAAAATAGCTAGCACTATCCCAGATACATTGTCAATAGGGGCCATTCAGAACGTCTCTAGTCCAGTTAGAACAATCTAACCCTAGAGGGCCCATCTTATCAAGTTGAGTGAGAAATAATGAGCTTCACATAAGAAGAGAATCCAATTGCATGTAGTGGGAAAACAGAGGGATTAGATTTGCTGCCTATGGTAAGCTAAATGCAATCAGTCGCCCTGCTGAGATAGATGGACCCATCTTGACTGGAAACCCGGCTGAAAGTACCTCTCCAGTGATCAAAGCTAAACAGTGTGAAAGGCCCAATTTCAGTGTCCTGTTGCACCCAGATAAAGGACACAGTTTTTATCAGGTGTGTCTTTGTTGGGAGCTTAATAAGTATTTGAGGAACAGCCATGTATTATGTAATGGCCATTGAGAGGGGCTATAACAGATAACCCAGTGGTCAGTAGAAGAAAAGCAGATTGCAGGTAGCCAGATCAGTTTCAAGATCCATTTCAACATTTTATTGCCCGCTATGAATTCACCCTACAGTTTTATTGTAAAGACTTCATGGATTAGATGTGGAAGTTATTTATTTGCAAGAATCCAGTCTTTCTATCTTTCTCGTAGATCTCACATTCAGGACTTTCTGTACCAGAACTTGACCTCAGTGTATCATTTTACGTCATCTGATATTGATCACTAATATAAAATACCTGTATTACTCATGCTGTTGAATCCTGGACCACACAAACATACTACAAATTTACTATGAAATGACCAGTTTTAGATTTAAAATATCCCTCAGTAAGCTCTTGATTAAATAAAAGCAAACAATGTCCCTTTGTGTGGAAGTGAAAAGTCAGAGATTTCTGGTTTTAATCAAATGTGTATTGGAGTATGTTCTGTGCATGATCTGATGATACATTGATAGTTTTTAAGTCCAATTGTAATGGATGATTCAATTAGAGTAGTGGGTTGCCAAAATGAAATGGCAGATTAAGAATCCAGTTTAATGGGGAAAATGATGCACATTGAGGCCTTCTGAAACATGTTTTGTGCACTCATGACTGCCATCACTGGATGTACCTT